ATAAGAATGTCATTATTAGATCAAAATCATCACATTGATGACACAAAATCATGGAAAATGTAACTCTGTCTCTTACATGGGTCGTCTACCAATTTGTCTTCTGATTTTGTTACTTTTACTTCTAAAATACAGTACTCATGAGTCAAGACGATGATGGAAACTAAAAAATGATGTCATTGTTTCATTACGTCTAAATGTTTCTTACAACGGAAATTCATGTCAATGTTAAAAGTTAATTACAATTTGTAATTATGTATATTACACAACAAAAATCATGTCAAAGTTAGAATACGCTATGGGTAGTCATCATCTAACTAAACAGTAAACATGCTCATTAGAAAATAAAAAATGACATGTTTTTTTTTAAATTGACAAGTTTAAAAAATAATTCTATTATTTTTATTATAACTACTCAAATTGAAAATTAAGGTATATTTGTTGATGATTTAAAAGTTGTACCTTTGTTGAGAAGGACACTTTTTACAGAGAATATTATTTATTGACAGTTGATTTTACATTTTGGGTATGTTCTACTATGTAGGCTGTTGAACGAGGAGCTGGTATGGATGGTCAGAAGATTACTTACACTTTGATCAAACACCGACTTGGAGATCTGTTTTACCGTTTGGTGTAAGTTAATATTTCAGGCAAGAAAATGGACTTAATAGCAGACCGTGCATGGCCATTTATGATTTCCCTTTAAACTTTTTGCCGAGCAGGTCACAGAAATTTGAGGATCCTGCCGAAGGAGAAGACGTGTTGATAGGCAAGTTCAAGAAGCTGCACGAGGATTTGACAGCTGGTTTCCGTAACCTTGAAGACGAAACTCGATGATTTCGCGCGCCCGTTACGGTATGTGGAGAAGATGTTTGGTTCTTCACTTTGCGCGGTTGTTTCGTGCAAGGCTGTATTTGGCATCGCAATGCATGGTTCAGTTTGATTAAACCACAGGGGAGCAGTGAGAAATAAAAGCAACTAGTGCGTGTTACTATATTTGTACGTAGCTCTCATCATGTAGTTTGACATTTTTTCCCGAGTTGGGTGGGGGGGGGGGGTGGTGTTTTTGCATTTGTTTATTGTTCCATCATTGATCTGAACTAAAAATAAAGCTACAACCGAACTCTCTCTACTCTCCTCTCATATTATTATTATTATTATTATTATTTACTCTCTCCTTCCATTCTTTTCTTTCTCATTTTGACTTGGCATGCACTTAAGAAAAGTTGAAAGTTTGTTTGACTTTACAAATTTACCCTTCCTCTTAATTGAGTATATCATGTTCCAAAAGGCGAAATCACTCACTCCGGTCGTCCCTCACCCCCTACCCAATGAGATTGTGAGAGGATATAAATCATAATGATTTTACTGGGAAAAGAGACCAGAACCAGCAGTGCTCACTGTGCACAAGGAGCTCTCCTCATTTTTTTGAGAGGTTGTTCCCACACTGTCGTTGGTGAGGCTCGATCTTGGGTCTCATGTTCCAAATTCCACCTCTGAGACCAGTAGAGTTGCCCATGCAGGTCTCTTCATTGAGTATCGAGAATACTCTATGAGACTCCGTACTAGTAGTACTTTATTCCCCCCAGATCTCCTTGAAAATAGCCAACAGATCTAAATAAGAGATCATTTTTGAAAATAGCCAACATTTCACCCCTTGGCGTCTGCAGGTGGAAAAATGGCACACCCAAATCTTAAGGGATATATAAAAGTCTGACCAAGAAATTTCTGCTACCTCCGATGAAAAGCCCGGCGAGGGTGGTGGATAAACTGGTCCGAGCATGGGAGTAAATCTGATCACGACAACTCGGCGAGGTTGAGGCGGTGATGACTGCGATCCCTGATGTGTCTGATGAGGCTGGAGGCGGAGACCGTCGGCGTTGGAGGAAGAAGATGGCGGCTGGAGGAGGAGGCCTTGAAAGTAGACCCGGATGACATCCTAGATGAAAAAAACATACTCCCTTTGTCCCAATTAAATCGTCTGTTTCGATTTACGATGTTTGACTGATGTTGTTTTCAAATCATTTTTATGAAAAATAGTATAGAATTAAAAAATAAAAATTACATATTTTAAAACTATGTTTAAAATTAGTGGTGACATAAATGAACTGAGGGACAAAATTTCATATTCTAGATGATTAGTGAAACATACTACGCATTTATTAAGAATACCTTGCAAGCTTTTCACGCATTTTCCTATCTCAGTAAAGTTACTCTAATACTAACCATTGATGATATAACATTTGGATCGAATAAGTGAGAGCTTTCATGTAACAATGCTTCATCAATAGTAACACAAATAACAACTAACTCGGCGGTACCAAAAAAAATTCTACCTCGTCCCATTTTATAACGCCTGTTTCGGTTTACGATGTTTGACTGAAATTATTTTCAAACCATTTTATACGACAAATGGTATAGAATTTAAAAATAAAAATTACATATTAAAAAACTACATCAAAATATATACAAAAGTAGTAGTGACAATAATATTTTATTTTATCAAATTGCTAACGAAAATAGAGAAAGAAAGTGAATGAAGTTTGACCCTATGAATAGTAAACATGCATTATAATTTGGGACAGAGGGAGTACTCCGTAACAAACTACTCGTATATAATACGAGCATTATTTAACGAAACAATTTTTTTGTAATATAGACTCTCTCTGTCCCACTATCTTTGTCCACTTACCTTTTGGCACACCATCCAATGCACTTCTTTAATCCATTTTATCTTGTAATTTGTATATTAAAAAATTATAGAAATTATATATTAATAATCTATATGTTAAGATAAATCAAACAAGATCACACATGACTATATTTAGGCTTACACATTGTGAGAATTTGATGAGTCAAAGTGCTTAGATGAATAGTTTCAAAAGTAAAAAGTGGACAAAGAGAGTGAGACGAAAGTAGTATTTTGTACTCCCTCCGTCCCAAATTATTTGTCACATTTGCTTTTTCAACAGTCGCGGGAACTTTTGTTTATTTCTACGTTTTCATTAGTTATTTGATAAAATAAAATATTCTTGACACCTCTTATTTCGAAGAACTTTTCATCTAGTTTTTTGATATATAATTTTTTATTTTTTATTTCTTTACCAATATGTAAATAAAATGAATTAAAAGAACTTGATATTTAGAAATGTGACAAATAATTTGGGATAGAGGGAGTATTTGTATCCCACAGAACTATGTCAGGGTAATAAGTTCAATACATCATCGACGGGACTTCCAACCAACCAACCAACATTGAAAATGAGTTTTTCTAATCCCAAACTAGCAAAGAGAAAATAGTCAAATACTAAATGTAATGTACTCAAACGTTATATAAAGTGTGGGTCATGCTACACTTACACCACAAATTATACCCCATTTGTACACCGCAGTTATACACAAACATTTTGATTGTTTACACCGACACAAGTGTTGGTGCGTTAAGAAAAATTTACACGAACATAAATTGTCGGTGCATTAACAAAAATTAGTTTTACACCAACACAAAGTGTCGGTGCAAACATGCAGGGTACAAAGTGGGGTATAAAAGTTGGGATACAAATAGCTTTATCCATAAAGTGTATAACTGTGGGAAGAGAATTTGTTTTGGGTGGTGATAGTCACACCCACACCCTACCAAAAAAAGACTAATCTCATCCCATACTAATTTCACTCCACCCTTTTCTAAATTAATCTTAATCCCGTGCTTTGCATTGACTCTCATATTTTTTAAACTTTTTAAGTTTTTGATATAATTTTATTTTTTAATTTTCTAATAAATACTCTGTATATGGTATGTGTTATTTAAATTTTTTAAATTATTAGATATGATATCATTTTTGAAATAAAAGTTATAGTTTTAATAGTAATGCTCATTTAATTTTATCATTTATATAAATCTTTGTCTTTGAAAAGTATTAAAAGGGAAAATGTGAGTCGTTTTAAAATTTTATATAAGCTTTGTTTTTTAATTAAAGAATATAAGTTATAACCTTATTTTTAATTTAATAACATAAAATGGTGAAATGGATATTGGTATAATACCCTAAAAATAAAAAGTTTTATATAAATTTAATAGTCATTGAGTCATTTTGACATCATAGTTTTCTTGCACACTCCCCCCCCCCCCCNTACCTCCGTATGTAGACCTGTCAATGGGTCAGAGTTGGGTGAGTCTATAGTGTTCTATATCCGTACCCTTTTAAAAAAAATTAATCCTGACCCGTACCCGTTTACCCGATAGGTCTTGAAGCTTAATCCTAGATTTGGCCCATTGAGTCTCGGTATCGGGCCCATAGAGTTGGCGTATTTTAATTTTCAATAATTGGAAAAAATTAGTGAAAATACTATAAATGAAAAACACTTTAATTGAATACAAATAAAAATAAGACTAATATTGCTACAAAAATCATCCTTCTTTACCAAAAACCTACAACAAGATCTTAGATTCATAATCAGCATTCTTGTGCATTGATTCATGTTGCAACAATGTTCTTTATAACAATACATCTAATTCCAAACTATTTATTTTTTAAATACTGGATAAACCAATAAGTACATGCCTTTAATGTGATGAAATAAATACAAATAGATTGAAAGCTACACAACCCGCAAAGAAGGGGAGTAGCGAAGAAAAGGGGTAAGGTTTTGTAATTTTTAATATTATCTATTTATTATTTAACTGGTACGGGTTTTAAACATGTTGGGACTAGTAGGACTACTAGTCCTATACCCAACCCTTTATTTTTTAAACATTACGAGTACGGGTTTGGCTAAGGGTAAACGATATTTTTTATACTCCTAAACTCGCTAAAAAATTACGAGTATTGTAGGGGTTCAGGTCTATACCCAACCCATTGACACGCCTATTCGTACGACTCATTTTAACATCACCATAGAGCCGCACAAAATGGCGAATTATGTGGTACCCCCGTATGCCATCCCCGGAAATGCTTCCAAAACGCTGAAATGTGACACAAAGCACGATCAATTTCAAATGTATGGGATTACCTAGCTTCTTATTGCTGCTGCTAGTGCAGGATCACAATGTACGGGAAAGAACCCATAAAAGAGAAATGTTCTTCTCACATTATTACAGATGTTAAAAGAAAATGCAGTTTCATCATTACAGATTGAAAAAACAGCCAACAAAGAGGAAGCAATTTAGCGGTATTGGCTTGCCAGTTCTCCGTCCTTGACAATGTAATTCTGGGCAGGGAAATCCTCACCCTTGAAATACCTTTCTAGCATGTCCTTAGTCCCCGCGGCATACCTCAGCTACACCATTTCACGTTTCAATAAATGTCTCATGAAGCTCATCAAATCGCATTCTGACCACGCATATTTTTAGACAGCAACACATACATTAAAAGGTTGAAGAAGGGTTTGATATGATACCTGTGCATCTATGGTTGTTCCAGAAATGTGGGGGGTCATGGCTTGATTTGGCATGTATCTCCACGGATGGTCCTTAGGAGCTGGCTGTGGGTACCAAACGTCGCCGCTGTAGCCTATATGTAAAAAGAGAAATAGGAAAACCAGAGTATTCGGACACTGCCAAATTGAATGCGAAAAAAAGTGCCTTGTATGGTTTAAGGGGCGTGATTCTGAAATTGAGTTAATTGTAAATCATGTAATGTTATGGGGATATTTGTGCATTGTTTGAGGTTCTATCATGAAAGTTCAACCTGATTGCAAGACTAGTTACAAAGTGTAAACTATACAAGTATACATCACTTGTAACTAACTCCGCGTACATTGTAAATACTGCGTTGTGCACTGTTTGGAGTACCATTGTAAACGGTCAACTTGATAGGAGCTCAAAAGGTGCAAGACAAGATTTACATTGTAGGGTGGGAGACTATTGGATTCAGCTAAATTGTAAATCCTATTGTTATTTTTTATGTAGATATTTGTGCATTGTTTGGGGTTCTATACTAAATGTTCAACCTAATATGAAGATCAGAATAGTAAAAGGTGGCTGGCTGGTTTAATTTGTAGTGTCATATTTATCCCATGATGGCTGAGATTTGGAAGTTTAAGATGAAGAGATGATTGAAAATACCCGCAATGTGTCCAGTGGAACAAGCATCAGCAACGGCTTGAGTGTCCATGATTGCACCCCGAGCATTGTTCACCACCAAAACTCCCTTCTTCATCTTCCCAATCCTCTCCTTGTCAAACATTCCCCTGGATCACAATATAATGGAAAGAGCTTTTGAGAACACATTTCTAAGGCAATAACAAAAAATAAGAGGAAGGCCGCGCGCGAACAGTTGAATTTTTACTTGGTTTTATCTGTCAGAGGGGTGTTTATGACAATAATGTCGCATTTGGACAGCATCACATCTAGGTCTTCCTCAAAATGGGCACCAATCTCCTTCTCCAATTCAGGATCCATCTTAAGACGGTCGTGGTAGAGAAGATTGCAGTTGAAAGGCTTCAATCTTTGAAGCAAACGCCGTCCGATCCGACCTGCTCCTATGGTTCCCACAGTCTTCCCCTCCAGATCATAAGCTCTGTAAGCGATTTTGGAAACATCCCATTCTCCATTGATGACCTGATGGTGTCCGGGCAGGAAATTTCTGACCAGGATTAGGATCCGCATCAGTTCATCCTCAGCAACTGAGACGACGTTGCTTCCGGTGACCTCCGCCACCGTGAGTCCGGCGGCCGCCGCTGCATTGAGATCTATGTGATCCGAGCCTATTCCGGCGGTAAGCAAGAGCTGCAGATTCTTCGCCTTCTTAATCCTCTCCGCAGTGACGTAGGCGGGGTGGAAGGGAGTGGTGATCAACACGTGCAAATCGGGAATATGCTTTTCCAGCTCTGTCAATCGGATCAAACAAACAGATCGCACGGATTATGTTTTTCTGGAGGAATTGAATTTGCAGAGGAAAGAGTGGATCTTACCGGAGTCGGGTCCGTCTTTGTCATGAGTGACGACGTAGCGGTGGCCCTGGGACTCCAACCAATGGCGGATGCCGAGAGCGTTCTCCGCGCAGCCGACGAAATTGGGGTTGAGAGAAGCATACTCATTAGCTTTGTAGAAAACTCCGACGATCTTTTTGCTGCCGGGAGATGCCTGAGCGTTTTCCGGCAGCCGGTATTAATGCGGTGAAACAGATTCTCATACGTAACAGAAAAAGAGAGGATAGGATAGACTTACATGAAGGTGTCGGGTGAGAGCTGAGGAGGAGTTCCCAGGATAAGATAGTGCCTGAAGAAGAAGCCCATTTGCAGCTGCACGCCTCAACGCCATATCCCCTCCCTCTCTCTCTCTCTCTCTAGATTCTTGGTTGAAAAGTGGCAAGTGGTTGATTATAAATTGATGGATTATGCTATGTGTACCCCAAGGTTTGTACCCCGCAGTTTTGCATAAACACTTTGTGTTGGTGTAAAACTAATTTTTGTTAAACGCACCAACATTTGTGTCCGTGTGAATATTTATTAACGCACTAATACTTGTGTCGGTGTAAACCATCGAAATGTTTGTGCAAGCTTGTGGTGTACAAATGGGGTATATTTTTTGGTGTAAGTGTAGCATGGTCCTAAATTGATACTCCGATGGATTATGCTATGTGTACCCCAAGATTTGTACCCCAATTTGTACCCCGCAGTTTTGCACTAACATTTTGTGTTGGTGTAAAACTAATTTTTGTTAAACGCACCAACATTTGTGTTCGTGTGAATTTTTATTAACGCACCAACACTTGTGTCGGTGTAAACCATCGAAATGTTTGTGCAAACCTGTGGTGTACAAATGGGGTATATTTGTTGGTGTAAGTGTAGCATGGTCCTACTCCAATCGGTCAAATTTAAAACAAAGTTTGGATAACGCCGAATACTCATTTTCAATTATGAGAAATTTTGTTTTCATAGATTTGAATAATGTTATGAAATTAATGATTGTTCATTTATTCAATTAATCAGGATTAATTTCTAGAATAGTAGATTAAGACACTCATTGATGAGTATCAATTATGTACAGTACTTCCCACTTGTATTTGTATCCATACCAAGGCTCTCCACTATAAATAGAGGCCTAATCTCTGCACTGTAATCACCATTAAGAATAAGAAGAAGAGTAAAGAGTTAATAGAGAGAAGAAATCAGAAATATATTATATCTATTCTCACAATCTCTGAGTAGTTTTTCTCTCATTTTACAACACGTTATCAGCACGAATTTGCTCAAAATCCTAGAATCCTTGTTCTTCTCAGAAGGTGTATTTATTTAATTTTCTTCATAAACAAACCAAAATATTTTATTAAAAAACTATGAGAAGTATGCTCTGTGATTGCCCAAAGTAGGGATCCTTCAGATCAGAAACTTATAGTTATAAAAATGAAATTAGATAAATTAAAAGAAATAAGTTTCCTCATAATCCTAGAAAATCATATTTTTTGATAAACTGGAATAAAGAATAGAACTTAATATGAAGTAGCTATGATTGAAAAATAAAAATTAATTTTATCTTTTAAACTATTCTTGATAAATAAGATGTAAAAAAAATGGAAATCTAGATATGATGAACTTACCTTTCTACTACCCCTGAATTCTTCTTTGATTTGTTCCTCCCATTTTTAGAGATAGAGAATTTTTTTTCTCTTCGTTGTTGTCCCTTCAAAGGCCACACAAACATATACCATACATACTCCTATAGTACTTTTAAGATTTTTTTTCTTCTTCTCATGACTCTGCCAAGTTCTAAAAGGATGAGAGGACTTTAAATCATGCTAATATATAAAGAGATAAGGTTTTAAGAATAATTGAAAAAAGATGCTCTACTGATTGATACCTCTCATCATCTAAATACTTTTGTCTTATTATGTTATCATCTTCCGTTTTTTTTTAAAAAAGAAGTTGCATAGGATTCCTACATCTATATCTCATCAAAATTATTCTGTATTTTGTTTAAGAGGCAGGTAATATTTTTATATCATGTGAGACCATTTTTAACATGTTTGCTTTATTAAATTTTAAAAGGGAATCAATTCTAAAATTTGATGTCTATTCATACATGGTGCCGTGATATATAAAAAAAAACATGTTAACATCAATTTCCTGCCAATGAAATCAAACAACTTATTAGTGTCTATGGAATATTTTTTTTTACTCCTTATTATGTACTCTGTATATTTTTTTTAAACGAAGCTATATTATTTTTACAATATATATATATATATATATATATATATGTATGTATATATATATAATAATAATAAAGCTCTTTAAAAAAATCAATACTACTGTGTACGTTTGAAAAATGGTAAAATGACTTCTTTTCTACACCCATTCACTTAGTTTAAAAAAAACAATATTAATAAAATTAAAATTTATTGTTTTGTAGTTTCCATGGCCAACATCACTAAAAGAGAATTCGACATTCTTGATTTATCCGGTCAAAGGTACCTGGAATGGAAGGTTGATGCACTAGCTCACCTTAAGGTTAATGGCCTCGAAAATACAATTGCTGAGAATAATACATCATCATCTCAGCAAAAGGCAAAAGCCATAATTTTCCTTCGCCACCACCTTCATGAAAGTTTAAAATCTGAATATTTATTGGTGGAAGATCCGAAAGAATTATGGGATAATCTCCAAGAGAGATATGGACATCAACAAAAGGTCCTATTGCCAAGAGCTCAATATGAATGGATCAATTTAAGATTCCAAGATTTCGAATCTGTTTGTGACTATAATTCTGCTATTTTTAAAGTCACGTCCACAATAAAATTATGTGGACATAATATCACTGACCATGACATGTTGGAGAAAACTTTTTCCACCATGCATATGTCAAATGTGATATTACAGCAGCAATACAGAGAAAGGGGCTTTAAAAAGTATTCTGAGTTAATCTCAGTATTACTTGTTGCTGAGCAGAATAATGAGCTCTTAATGAAAAATCATAACATGAGGCCCATCGGTTGTAGCCCTACAAATTTTGGCCATCCTGATCGTGGTTCAGCACCAGAATCAAATGTTATCCAAGGTGGTGCTCGTGGACACTTTAAACGTGGACGCGGAAATAACCGCAACAAAGGGCCGAATAGGGGCTATAAAAATCCAAATGGATCATCCTGCAAAGGAAAAGGAAAATTCAAACCACCACAGGCTAAAACTTATGAAAAGCCAAAACCAAGTGGTGAATGCTACAAATGTGGCATAAAAGGACACTGGGCGAATGAATGTCGAACGACAAAACATTTGGTTAAATTATACCAGGCTTCCACAAAAGGAAAAGGGAAAAATGTGGAAGCTAATTATGCTGATGATATCAATCCAATTTTGCCTAAATTTGACGTGTCCAATTTCTACATGGATGATGCTGAAATTGGTAATGAAGTGACCTTTGGTGGAACTACTACTATTTAAACATTTTCATTTACTCTGTTATGATGTGTTTACTTTTTAAATAAATGTTGGAAATTTGTATTTTATTTTCATGTGTGCTTGTATTATTATGTCTCTTCTAAAAAAAATAATGATAATAAAATGTATGATATTTGTGTTAATTATCTTTAACTTATATTTATTTATATATTTATTTGTATTCAAGATATGGAGATAACTGCTTATGGCTCCAGTGGCAAAGAACAATGTCTAATTGACAGTGCCACAACGCACACCATTTTGAGAAACAAAGAATATTTTTCTCAAATGACATTGATGGAAACTAATGTCAATACAAT